GCACAGTATCTGTGTGTGAAATTCTCTAAAGGGGTTTAAGTATTTACCCTGAACACTATCAGACAGTTTCTAAAATTTTCCTTATCCTGTTGCAAAAACACTTCAAAGAGAATCATAAACACAGTCCTTTGTGCTTTCAGCACACACTTTGTTTTGGAAGCTTAAGTCTGAATTCCCTCAGAATTGTAAATATTTTTTTTCTGAAAGATGTGCAATACAACTTAACTTTTTTTTTTTTTTTAAAGATCCGTAGTGATTCTACTACACACAATGCTGAATCCTTTCTCCCATTTGACAGCTAAAAATATTAGGGTCAAGGAAATTAGTGCCAAAAGAAAAAAAAAGGCAAGAAAAAGAAAACAAGTCTTCAGGATCAGGTTTTGTTGTTGTTGTTGAAGATAAAAGGTACATTTCCAGAAACATCTGACTCCTAATGTACATAAAATACAACCTGCCAAAAATACATTTATTTAAAGTGTCTGGCCTAAACAGATAAGAAGAGCCCAAAAAGACAAGAAATATGGCTAAATTGTAGGTCTTTGAGCTGCCATGTTGTGCCTACATTTCACAGCTCATTATGCAATACGATCACCCATCACTGCATGGTCTTCCAATAAAGGAGTATGACACTGCAATATCTAAGCACAACGGGAAAGCTAAAAAAGAAATTAAAATAGTACCTCACAATTTCTTGAATTTTGGCTAACAAGGTCAAACCAATTCAAATATCAGTTAAGTTGCTCTGCATTTTCTGAAAAAAAGCTAAATAACCAACCAGCTTGTTTGATGCCATTATCTTTTTTTTTTTTTTTTTAATATAATTGGTTAGCTGTTTAAAGTGCCAAAGCCTATAAAAGCTAGGAGGATTCCTTTTAAAGGCATATTTTGTTTATAGCTTTTCATGGTTATTCTGGAACTGAAATAGTCTGATTTAAATACATATTTACATCTTTGTTTTAGTTTGGGCAGGGGTGGGGGGGAATATTATGGCCCTGGGCTGAGATTTTGTAGCTCAAGTTTCAGCCTAGACTCAATTCCAACTGTCAGGCTGTAAGCTCCTGACAATAGGCTCTTATAGCTGAAACCATGACATACATCATATGTAGTAATAGTAGCAAATAATGAAATAGATCTCAAAAAGGAAAGAAAAATAATTTTACAAGAAAATAGCCTTGCTCTCTAATTTCAATTTAGTTGTATAAACTGATAAAAGCATGCTATTGAGAATAACAGTAATAATAACTTGACTAGTAAGTATAGCTTTTAAGAAGTTTTACAAATCAAAATGGAAGTTGTGTAGAAAGATACCAGTTACCAGTTTGCATGAAATGCAACTTTGCTCATTATAACTACACAGTGAGTGCACACTTCTGCTTTTACACTACACTTATAAATTAAAAGGTGTGCTACATGTCATTATCATTAGCTGTATTTTAGGATGCCAAAAAGTGAAACAAATGGTGTAACAATTACTTGTGTTTCGGTTATATCATTAAAAATCAGTTCTTTTAAGATCTATGTTTCATTCCTTTAAGTAGACCCTTTATTGTAGGCAAACGGTTAATGCTGTTAAATATAACTCCAAATCAGTCATACTTTTCTCTATATTTTAGTTCTACAATTTTTTTCATCCTGCCAAATTCCTGCATAAATAGGTGGGATTAAATGGAGCCTAGCCTACCTAACATAATTATATATGTTGTGACTTTATACTGCAATGAAACTGATACATTTTAATAATCCCAGTCTTGGCTCTTACCCACTAAAGTCAATAAAGGTTATTAAGGCCAACTGCCATATAAATACATTGCTACATTGCTAAATGGACTGTCAAAGCAGGAAATACAATTCACACCATATAGCACTAGTAGGGTTGTCTGTCTTTTTTTTAAAGGGGCACCAGATACGTTAAAAAAGTGTAAAGATTCGATATTGAAGTACAATCATATATGTTTACTTTTCATTACACAAACAAAAACCATTTCATTGATTTACATTTTACTTATTCAAATGTGAATCATTCTAAAACAAACAAAACAAAACAAAAAAAAAAAGACTGCAGGACTTCTGCAGCTCTTACTGATTTAGCATGGTGTTAAAAGATTTTCATAGCTAAAATAAATGTCAGATTGCAAAGTTTGCATGATACCAGACCCTGAGAGACAAATTGTCTCTCCACTGAATCTCAGAACAGCTACAGCAAGACTTCCTCATATCACATGAGATTTCAGCTTTTCAGACTTCTCTTTACCCAGAAAGCAAAGCTTGTACAGTCTTTTTTCAAATGGTAACTCTCCCTTTGAATTCAGCAAGCATTTATCCTGATGTCGCAGATGATAACGTGTTAATCTTGGATGACTTTTAAAAAAAACCCTCAAACATTTGAATAGCCTTCATATTTTCAAGGGAGGGGGAAAAAGAGAAGAAGATTGGTTAAAATGCTTTGGATTTAATAGTTCATAAATTCATGAGGTAATATTGTGGGAGATGTGATGTTTTATCAGAATGTCATTCAAATGAAAGGTTTAACATTTACATCACAAGAGTGAGCTCTAAGTAAAACTATCCTCAGGGAAAGAAATGCCAGGAATAAATATTATGATAAAATTGTGTGCTTGCTATAATGTACAAAAATATTAAATACAGCCCAAAGGTTTGAAGACACCATGTTAAACTTCCTGCAGTATCATGCTCTGCTGTGACACGGGAATAATTACAATTAGCAGAATCAGAAATTATTTTGGCAACTTTCTCTTCTAACTGCTTTACTAAACAAGGTTAAAAAAAAAAAAAATAAAAGGCACACAGGGACCCAGACTGACCTTTGTATTACTCTAGACACATATATATAAAAAAAAAAGTGAAGTTGTTCATCTCACACATAAAAGTAAGAAAAACACAATGTTTAAGTATTTTCTTTTAAGAAATTATTCCTTTTAAGCAAGAATATTTTTCCAAGACAAGATCAACAATTCTAAGACATTTTCACTTTTAGCGTTTTGCCACAATTTTTCTTTTTTAAAAAATCATCCATCTGAAATTATAAATTTGGAGAAAAACCATCAACTGTAGACCACTGAGTACCTTCAGAAATACCTTCTTGATTTAACTTAATGCTGTGGAAGCTAAGCATACACCGAAACACTGCACTTTTTATGTTAAATTGCTGTTGAATTTGTTAACCCACAATTGATTTCCTGTGTTATGGAATCTTAGAGATTACAGCTAACTTGAAGCAACAGGGATAATTCTTGATGCTAATGCTACATTTCTATGTATTTTTATTCAGGTAGTGCCTGTTGTTGCATTAAAACTGCGGCTCAACATTGCCCCCTACTGTCATCTTGTGAAACACTAAAGGACAAAAAGTAGGTTAAACCCAAAAAACCCTCACCCTACCTCCAAGTCCCAAATACATTAAGCATCAAATTTACTTAGAGGCTCAACAAAACAGACATTCTCAATTAACATTCTCTTCTGTCTCCTTCAATAGCTGCAATTAATTGTGATTAATATGTTATAAGTCATAAAACATTAAAGCAATTTTTAAAATTTAAATTAGAAGCAGCTTCTGTCTTGGCCCAACCTTCAGTTTGCTGATAAATATCATCCTGAGGCCTGTTGAAAGGAGATACACTGACGCCACCATGTTTCTAATTGGAGACACATGGTAATGTCACACCAATTGCAGAAAACCTAACCCTTGAGAATTCCCGAGTTTGCTGTTTTTCCATGTTCTCAACACACAATGGATATAAAATAACAATCAAACATTCCTGTCTCTACCTCATCTAAGCCTGTGTTACAAGAGAGTAAGTTGTCATTTGAAAGAAAAACAAACCAAAAGATTTTTTTAAAATTATAACGGTCATTCAAGAATGCGAGCACATAAGAACACAAAAATGAAGAAAAAACCACATAAACAAGTTATAAATAATTTATCTCCTTTTGTAGGAAAGTTTAATGTTCACCGATTCCTTGTGGCAACTGATTTCACAAATGAAAGTTCCACTTTTCCACACTTATTTTCCAAGTCTGAAATCAATTGTTCCTGGAAAAGCTTGCAATACATTTGAGCAGGTCAGGGAGTCACAAAATTTGCCTCAACACTCAAGAGCATGTTCTTGTTGCACCACACCTCCAGAGATTCAAAAACACCTCTACTACAAATTGTTCTGAACATCCTCAGCTACATTACAAACTTCCAAGTCAACTACGGGCAAACTGAGGCTTATGCTGTGACCAGCAGAAATGACTGAGAAGCTTCTAAGGCAGATGTATGGACATGAGCAAGACACGTTTGTCAATACAGTACCTTCTGTGTACAAATCTAGAAGCAGGCACGCTGGCAATTGTATCAAACACTTGCACTAGCAAAGTCTCCCAGCTAAGTCTCTATACGGACTGCAACAGAGAGCAGGCTTAACAGTGCTTGTCACTGAGTTCGTTTGCATGGAAAGCAGGGATGTACTTTCAAGTATGCAGGAAGCAGTGTCACTACAATTATTCAAGAAACTAATCTCTTGTTGGTTCTAGCTATGGTGTAAGTGTGCAGGTGGACTACAGATGGATAGTTGTACCTCCAGATCATCAAATTTTGCTCTCAACTCTCCTCAGATGCATTCGCCATTGTCGTCATTGGCAGAGCTGGCTACCTTGGCGTTGTATGAAAAAGTTGACAAAGCACAGTTTCACATACCAATTGGGGCAGTGTAAATCTATGACAATCATCTTATGAGGCTGTCAAACTTGAAAAACAAGCAAAGTCACGAAATAACTAAAAGCTCCTCTCGGTTTTTTGGATCTTACTTTGCGCACATTTCTTCTGGCTACTGGGGGAGAAAAAATAAGAGGCGGCAGTGGAAAGCTGACATTGATTCTACTTGTCATATGTTCTGAATAAAGTTTAAATCCTGTTACTACAGTACAATTAAAAACATAATTGTGAGTGCTCTCAGAATTAAGCTCTAGAGGCTTTAAACTATAAAACTAGTACTTACCATAATCTCCATTTTTCTCCAAAATTCTTCCAATTTAGCCATAGGCTTAAGCCACCAATCAGTGCACTTCAAATACCTCTTGCCTTGAAACCAAAACTGCCTAAGCCACTCAAATTCAACCTGCAAGATAAAAACATATGGTAGCATAAACATCTATGTTCATTATTTGGAAAAAAGATGGAAAAAACTTGCAGTAATGAAATTGCTAGAATGCAGCTAAAGTCAATTGCTATGGAAGGAGAGTGTAGCATTATAACAAAATACAGTATCTCACACTTGACCCAAGAAGCCGGTTACCAGCTGGGCTGCCAACAGCTTTTGGATGACCTGGCTGTGGGGAGGAGGCGTGTCCCCCAGCGCTCACGCTCTCTCTGTTGGGCCTGCCGTTGCATCAGAGGCCTCTAACGCAGAGCAAGGCACACGAACCAGGACCGAAAAAATAGTAACATTTGTAAAAAATTTCGTATGCGCATGGACCATCAACTTTAGACGAGAGAAATATTAGCTTACTAAAATATCATATAAATATGTAACTCAACAGATGTTCTTTAAGGAAAAGAATTCCATTTATCCTAATTTCTACTGAATGTTTTTTCCTTTAATAGTAATCCGTAGTTCTAGTCTTTAGATTCTGTATTTTCTTTGTTGCAACAGTTACATTTCACACCAAGTTCAAAGCTGCTTTCATCATTATTTGTACCACAAAGAAGTTTTTGGTTATCCCTGCTTGGCTCTGATGATGCAAAGACAGATAACTTGCCAAAGCGAAAGAATAAAGGAAACTGCCCAAAGCTGTCACCTCACGCTTTCTTTCCTGCAAGGGTGAACAGAATGGCTACAGAAACCTGAAAACCAATGTTTCAGTTAACATTAACTAAATGTTTGGTCAATATATGTTAAGGATTACAACAAAAGATACTTAAATCTGAAATGTATTGAAAGAATATTAAAGCAACTGTGTTGGTAAAATATAACAACATGATTAGTTGGCAGACACAGATCTTAAAATATTTCCAAAAAAACTGACTGTAAGCCTAGGGACTTTTTAGCACAGAAGTTTGATGACATCTTTCCTAACAAAAAGCTGAAGGAAAGTTTGCTGCCTCTACAGTATTAACGAGTTATGAAGGGTCAAGTTATGGTTTCTTAAGAATCAGTATACACAGTTTTGGGAAGGATGAGCACATCAACAGTTCAACTAGTTTTAAGAACTTAATACTTCTTTTCTTCCCCCACTTCTTTTTGGTTTTTCTGGCCTCTGCCACTGAAAGGGCTATAGCACATGATGTCTGGCAAACATGTTTCAGGAAATGAATCACATGATGCTAGTAACCAATAAAATAAAAGAAAAAATAATTAAAACCAATGTTACAATACAGCTCATCAGGACAAGAATCTAGTTCACTCAATCTGATTTTTGACTACTCATACTGATTTGTTACCTTAATCTATGCAATTTCAGTCAAATTCAAGCCTGGCATCTTGGGCAAATTTTAAATGTATCTTGATCCTCTACAGAATATACAACTTCACATGAGAGCTGCTTTTTGAGTGTAAGAAGTGAAGTTTAGCAACAGGCTAATTAATTTTCTGCAGGATTAGCTGGAACTGCAACATGTGGCTGTTTAATGATGTGGACTGCCACTTACTAGGACGCCCAAACTCAAGTCCACATTCATCTCACAAGGTCTCAGTTTAGCTCTAAACTGAGTTAATAAAATGGAGGTTGGAGAGAAAAACCATTTCACCCACCAATTTAGCCATCAAGCTGCTTGACAAGTGACCGCTCTGAACTATCACCCCTGAACAGGTAACTGTTGGTTCCTGGAGCGGGGGGGGAATCATCTTGATAAGGCAATGGTGACATGATTTCTCTGTCCCTGTATCCTTGTTTTAAGATACATGCACACATAAACACTTAGTTTTGCTGAAAATCTCCAGAGATTTCAGTTATGCTAAGTTTATTTGGTATTTTTAATTAACACATGAACAATTTTTTCACCACATCCATTACTAAGTACATGTTTTAACAAGAACATATGCTATCTGCTTTCCAAGCTCTCTTAAAAGCTCTGTGTCCTCTGGCTTTCATTGAACTCAATTCAGTAATATCTTTTCCTGTAGCAGCAAGGCACCCCTACTGGCTTGCCTCCTTCCACAAACAAGAGGAGCTGTACCAGGAAAAACAAACACACACACACAACAGTAAATACCGGAGAGAGACAGAAAGCTCAATTCTAGCCTTAGTGGAACACTGAAGTTACCGAACATTCATCTTCTGTGGCAAAACTCTCAAGTTAACAGCTCTTGCCAAGGATTTTGTCGGAGTTTTTATTTGGAGACTCCCACATATCAGGGCTAACTTTCATTATCATTAGGAAGCATTTTTCATGACCGAACAGGACAAAGCCTAAGCATATTAACATATAAAAATATATATGCTGAGTATTTTAGGAACAATTTTAATCTCCTAATTAATTTTCACTTAAGACTTACATCTGTGCAAGTAAGCTCAGAATCAGGCCTCATTATGTATAACCTTAGCGTATTTTCAAGTTGTCTTTTAAACAATGATTAAAGGTCAATTTTAGGTTATAGTCAATACTGGGTAGTAAAAGGCCAACGGTGGCATTTGACATTTTGTGAGGCAGTGCTGCTCAGTCAATTATTTAAAAGTATTGGTTATTAAATGCCACACATGTAGGTGATCTATATTTTCTCTCTTCTGTACTAGCCAGCCACCAACCATGCTGTCAGCCGACTGCGATGTGCTAAAACATATTAACCTTCCTTTGGTTGCGTACACCACTACCCCTTCCCAGCAGCAACCTCAGTGTCTAGCACCACATGCCTTCAACTTAGCTAGCCCAGGCTTTTCTACATCCCTGTGTGTTCACTATATCAAATTTATCCACTGCTGCCATAAATATAGATTTGCTGTAGTCAGAAGTGACTGTACCTCACAAGCAACAAAGCAACCAATTCAGTTGTAATTTTAGTCATGGTAGTCAGGATTTGATAATCACATCTGAGCAAAAACCCTCCCTTTTCAAGCTTGAGTGCTTACTTTGACACCTGCTACATTTTCAACACAACTCACAGATACTAAAAAACTTCTTCCAGTGTTTTACTTCATAGAGAACATCTGATTATTAGTTTATTGTTGGGAAATAGAGAAGCCTTGAAACTACCTCACACAACATGAACTACTATGGGATTTTACATTACTCGGAGCAATGAAAACAAATTTTCATTGAAATGTTAAGAATAGGCTGACAATGACCTTTTCTGCAGATTTTTTATATGTATGAGCATTTACATCATCTGTCCTGCAGTGTTTTATTACTTTAACAAGTGTTTCCTTGATAATGGGTTTCCCCAGGTCCCCTGTAGCTCTGTTTGGGACACACCCAGTACCTGTATGTATTTTGGAAATTCAAGTGTGATTCAGTAGAGGCAAGAGGTTCACATTCAGTGAACTCTGCAAGACCATTTATTTTAGGATAAATTATTACTGGCCAAACAGCAGTCTGATTGCTTAAAGGGGTAACTTCATTCAATCTCTAACTCTATGCGTGCACTGTTAGGCTCTCATACTTCACAGCTGTCCAGGTAATCACTTCTGTTCACCCTGCTATACTCCGTTCACTGGATATCCTGCCACTGAATTATTTGTTCAGACTTCAAGCCCATAAGCTACTTAGACAAGGACAAGCAGCACGTGAAAACCCTTAATTAAGGTTATCTTTACTTACAACTGCAAAGTACATACTGGGAGCGAAGCGACTCTCATATCTAACAAACAGCACATACCTTGCAATTATGCAGACATTCCTTTGAAGGCTGTTTTAGTGAGGGAGACCGCGACAAAAAAGCTAAGTCTAAAGAAATATTAAACTTCTACCTGGCTGCCCGCTAGAGATGCTAAAAACCTCCTCAGGTTAGCATCTTACTGTTTTCCACAGGAATACCTCTGCCAAGACATCCAAGACAGGGCTCTGACAAATGAACTCTGGGAAATGCAACATCAGTAAAGACATCCCCCAGATATTCACCCATACCTCTTGTAGAGGTTTCTCTGCCCACCACAAAAATGGAAAAACCAGATTCCACCTAAGCTTCAGGTCTTCAGTTCAAACCCACTTTATCAGCACAGCAAGTCAATTTTCCTGCCCAGGAATACAAAAGTGAAGGCACAAACTCATACCTCATTCTTTCAGACTTGCTTTTAGGCTTTTTCCCCTCTAGCAGACACAGATAATGCATCCAGACCTCATTTGGCACAGCAGTTAATTTCAGCACAGACTGAATCTGCACTAAACTACTATAGTTTAGCTTAGTCACACACAGCCTGATGGTACCATGATGGTTCTGTTGTGGTTAATGATCTCTGATGTCTTCAGAGTAGTCTTCAGAGATGCCAGCAAGAGGGGTAAAAAAACCACACACACACACACACACACACACCCCAAATCCGTAGAATTTTAGGAGGATAAAGAACTAAAACAATGGCTGCATCTAATTATCTGACTTAAACTCTGTGAATAACTTCAGTTATGACGATACTTGAAAGTAAAACACAACCGTACCACCTCCTCTAGAGACAGGGCTAGTACCTAATTTCAAGCTCATGATCTCTGGTCCAAAAGAATAGGAAAAAAAAAAAAATAATCACCAGGACGTTTAGACCTAGCACAGAATGCTGTATATCAGAACAGAAATACACAGGCAGAACTGGATGGCAGTTCTTCATCAATTCTGTTTCAGTGTTTGTGCAATTTTATCTTTTGTATTTTAAAATACTAACAAACTAGGGAAAAAAAGCAAAATCCAAAAACCAGTGACCAAATCCCGACCATATCAATCAAATGGAAGACTCATTTTCATCAGTAAATAGTTTGATTCTTCAAAAAAACAAAACACATTCTTGTTCTTCACTTGCTTGGGAAAATTTGAACCTAAAACCTGTATGAGTGCCTGAAAATACAAAGACTTACACAGTGATAAGAAGGTGGGAAGCTTTTACATGGGGAAAAAAGTTGAATTAGCCTCACAGATCCATATGTTTTCACTTCAGTGATGTTTGAAGAAGAAACATGCATTTACCACAGTGATAAGCCACTAGTAATTTTGTTTACTAGTGCAGTAAATAAACGCAATTTAGATAGCACTTTAACATATGAAATTTATCCTTCAAGTAAAGAGGTGATTTTGGGAAATAAGAATTAAAAAAAGAAAAGAGGTGAGTGGGTATTCTCTTTTCAAATGAAATATAGATCCAACGTGTCTACTGAGTCTAAGTGCGCAATATGTACAAGTTAAACGATTTCTGTTACGGTATATCCCACATGCGTAACAGGAAACATCCCTGTATGTCACACAGCAAAATTATTCAGGTGACTGCGAACACCAGGGGCTAGTCTCTCACCTGATGTAAACAGCACATGTCTTTGATGTTAAAGGACCCGTGCAAATTTACACCAGCTGTGCATGTGGCCCTAGCTGTGCAAACCACATATGCGTATAGTTTTATGGACTGAGCCTGATTAATGTTTTGTAAAAACCTGCATGCATCAGACTTCTTTAAATTGCTCTAGGAGCTGTTCTGCTAAAAGTCAAGAGTGCAAATCTTTTGCCATCACTATTCTCAGTCTTACCAACAGTAAACACAATACAGATAAAAACGCGTTCTATGAAGTTTTAGTAACAACACAAAATATTGTATTTCTCAGCAAATTCTAACTGGAGTGAAAATTACCTATGTACTACATAGCTCCTAACAGTGATCATACCTAGTAGAAATACCGAACCACTCTTTCAAAATGTCTGAATACAGGAGTGCTGTATATTTAAGCAAAAAGTGGTCCAGAAGTTTGTAGTAATTGGTTGCTATAGCCATTTTGAGAGAGATGTTCATCAGTGCTTTACAGTTAGGAACAGCTTAAAGTTTTGTTTCAGGTAGAAGGACAGCTTTTGCAGAGCAGCTAAACAATCTGTCATTTTAAGCTCCCAATATATAGCTTTGACTACATTTTGTGTAACTTCGTGTTAGAAAAGTGCTAGAGTAGTTTGGTTCGTCCACCACACTATCAGATTTGGTGTAATATTACTGAAAAAGCTCTTTTACTCCACCAGCAGAGGGATCTTAAGAAGGAAAATGAAAACGTCATGGGAATGAAAGTATCAGTCCAAGTTAACCCCAATTACTGTACCCAAGTTAAAAAGCCACAGAAAACACACTTCAAACTTATACAGAGCAATGCCTTGTGAGCAGCTGAACACACTTAATTGCCATTAATTCCATGAGCAGACTGCAACTCTGAGAACCTGGTTGAAGCCTTTTCCATGAAGATCATCTCACCTCATTATGTATTTCTTCTACTTGCTTTATAACTGCAGTTTCCAGTGATTTCAAAGATAAAGCCATTGAATCAGAATCAGTCTGTAAATTCTGGAGTGCCAGTTCACATTGTCCAAATATGTATTCCAATGTTCCTCTTGAACACTATATAGATACAAGAAAAAAAATGTATAAATAGCCGCTTCAGAACAGTATTTCTCAAATATACTGAACAATTTGCTTCTGAAATAATCAAAGTGAAGGAGTAGAAGGGATGTATTTCTATAACTTTATGCCATGATCTTTTAAACAAAAGTGTAATGGCCCCTGGATTGTCTACATGGTTATTGATACAAATTGTGCAAAAGTGTAATCTATCAAACATCTAGCCGACCAGGACAGCATAGATTAAAAGGAGAAAGAAAATAATCCTTTTTAAATTTACTTTACAAATATGACATTGTCATGGTTTAGCCCCAGCTGGCAACTAAGAACCACGCAGCCACTCGCTATCCTCACACTAGCTTCTGTGAAGAAAACCAGCTCTGTCCTGGCTGAAACCAGGACGGGCATACAAAAACTTGGCCATGCTTTCCATTGCTTCCTGGCCAGTTTCTGACAGTATTTCAGAATCAGTTATATTTGCCTAGTTCTGTGGGCTCCCAGAAACACTAAAATGGAGTTCAGTCAGCGAGTTGTTTACTTACAAGGTATAGATAATATGAATAATAAAAATTTGCAATTCCGTTGGGTTTTTTTTTTCATTACATTTTCTTCAAAATTAGAAGGAAACATATAAAAAGGTTTTTGAAACAAAAAGAAAGAAGATCTACATCTTTTAATTATTTTCAATTAAATATCTGTACCTTTAGTTAAATTTCCTGGAATAATCTTGAATAAGGACCTTCGGTCTCATATTCTTTGTAAACAAAATTTACATACTATAAAACTTGAAGTCACAACAGTTTAAAAAAAACAAAGCATAAATAGAGAAGCTTTTCATACTGTGAAAACAAGCATGCGTTTTCCTGCAAAAGTATCAGATAGCTACTGGTCAGAGCATTCTTAAAATGAGAAAGGAAAAATACAGAACTATTTGTTTTAAAATGTACAGTGTACTTCAACTTTATGTCAAAACCCAGTTCAAGCAAGCAGAGCATACATTTGTTAGGCAAATAAAGGCACTTTTTTAATATTACAGCTTATATGCCTGATATGTCCATGTTTGGTGCTATTGCTTCATTTCCATTCCTGCAGAAATTAGGAGCAAGAATGGAGAAAAAAAAAAGAAGCATATGGATACAATAGTGGCATATTTTGCCTTTATGAAAGAAGAAAGTGGTAATTGCAGTATTTTAAAATATCTTTTAACAATACATTCTACTTTGTTTTTCTGTGTGCTTTTCCATTAGAATACTATGTAAACAAAATGATTGATAACACCACGGAAAGGAATAGGGAGAGACCTAGTGAAAAAAAGGTGTCTTTGCACTTGAGAATATCAGGCTGAAGCCTTGTTACCTCAGAACAACTCAGAGAAGGGAGTCTGCATCACTTCTCTGCTTCTTCAATCCTCAGATGCACAGAAGAATCCAATTTAAAGAATACTCACACCTGCTCTTAGTTGTCCTGACCTCCTAAAGGCCATTTTTGCCAGTGGACACCACTGACGTGTTTTGAGTATTTACATCTCATCACGAATACTGCCTGCCTTTCAGCTAGGACTGAAACTAGGAAACTATCAACTAGGGATATCAACACAGCAAAAAAGTTTTAAAACTGAAATGTTTTAATTTTGTAAACGTAAAAATACAGTTGTTTCTACATTTCTTCAGTAATCCATGACGTGTGGTGTGGCACATTCTTAATTCATATCTTATAGGCTTAACTGTGAGCTTAGGCAAACTACCAATACAGAAACAAATGTATCTTGATCCAAAAAGAGACAAACATCAGCTGTTCAAGAAAGCAGTCTGAGTCATGCGCACAACTGTGAACCACAGTTCTGGATAAGACAACATGATGCTACATATACGGTACCAGAATATTAGTTTTACGAATGACCACACAGCAATCCACTTTGATACTTACATCTGCCACTCTGTGAGTTGAGCTGAATCGAGGTGAAAAACCAGCCAGAACACAGTGCTGATGTGTCATATTGAGATCATCTAGGGACAGATTAGAAAACCTCAAGTACAGGGAAAAATTATATTTAATAAAACTTATTCTAGCTGAATATAAATTAAAGACATTAAGTTCAGCAATTAAAGGAAAAAAAAAAAGAGAATTCATTCAGATAGTACTATCTCCGTAGAGCTCTAATGTTTAGCAGAGCATGATACCTATTCACTGTCCTAGTCTTACAGAGATCTCTATTCATATTAGTTTTCTCTCAGTTTATACAGTTTGTAAGTGTCATTTTCCCCACCTCTTAGAGAAAAAGTTCAAGTAAACAAATTAACCATTTCAAAGTTGAGGATCACTATAAAGAACAGACTACTCAGAAATTACAATCTCTTTTCTCAAAAAAAAAAAATCACTAAACAATACTGGTATTTCTTGAAAAAAGAAACAAAGAGAAAGAAAAAGACATATTATTTCATCTTTTTATCTGAAACTTATCTGAAATTCTCCCTTCAGCTCAGAGCCAAGAAACCAGGAAGCCAGAAAGCACAATCTGCTCAAAGACCTGTCTCCAAAGCATTTCATTTGTGACTGTCTTGTAGCCTGCCACAGGGCTGTCATGGACTTCAGTTCACAAACTGGCAAACCAACCACTCCACAAACCTCTGTCGATGGAATCTACTTGGTTGCCATCAGAGCTTCATCAAAATCATCATAAATGAAGAACGCTTGAATTCTGACAAATTAGCACTTTCCTCTGGAAAAGTTCAGACTAAATCTAGTAACAACACCCACGTGTTATGTTGAAAACCATTCATGAAGTGCTTTCAATTCAAACAGTTTTGGGGTTAAAAATATGCTGCCCTCTCAATCAAAAATTTCTGTAAAATCATTCCTGGGTTACAGTCTTGGAAGTTAGTAGAAAGAGACTAAAAAACACAGAAAACTAGATGACCTGAAGTGCCAACAAACAAAAAACCCTCATAGACAAAATTCAAAGGGGACGGGAACTGAGACCTACAAGATGCTAGTTACCTTGGAGTCTGTATTTTCAACAACATCTATTCTTCCAAGGAACTCAGCTTCAGTCATCTTAATACAGCATGATGAGAAATCATCAAGCTTCTTTCTTCCATCACATAAGTTCTCTTGAAGAGATCAATATTTGCATACATGAAACCTGATATCCCAAATTCCTACTAATTTTTGAAAATGCTCTTCTGACCATAATGACAGATTATCAGACTGAACAGAACACAGTGTGTGAGGTTTAATGGTATTCTCCTTATTACTGAAAAAAGATATGCACTGAAACTTTCACTTCACCATGCAACAAGTCTGAAACGTCAAAACTGAGAAAAGTCTAACAAGTAAGAATTCAGAAAGATGACTGAATTTATCCTAGCTCTAAGAACAATGTCTTCTTTTTATGAATTTTATAAGCATCTTTTAACAAAGTTCATATCCCAGACAGCAGATAGTCACAAACTTGAAAAAAATAAAAATAAATTTAAGTTTTTAAATAAAAATAAAAATAAATTTTTATTATAAAAATAAATAAAAAGAATTTATGTAAGGAATAGGCAGACAAGTATTAAGAAACAGGACTGAATTCCCAATGAGAAAGTTTAAATGGGAGGCTTATTTTCTATTTGCATGAGGCTTGCAATTGGAGATGAATTTGAAAAGCTTGAAAAAACGCTCCAAAACAAACAAAAAGAACATAGAAAAAAGCAATTTTCTACATAAATATACAAGGGTTAAATTGCATAGAGCCAAGTCTTGCAAGGTCCACAGAACAGTATTACCTCTGGACACGGCAATATTTAAATATCACAATCACCTTCAAGAAGTATTGCAACAGAAAACAAACCTAAAAACCTCTACCACCCCATTCAGTGCCCATTCATTGCAGTGTGTTTTATGTAGCAAATACAGCATTAAAAGCATTACATTTTGATTTGCACCTTCATTCAAACTCCTGGCAAATCTTTCATCGTAGACCTCCCCCTTGAAATTGCTTCCAAGTGTCTCTAATCCTTTACGACTCTTAGAAAGAAGCCTGTAATTTCATTTAAGAGTTTATAATTCATCTAAAACTGTAATTGTACAAAAATAGTTGAAGCTTCATGGATTGCATGTCTCAAAGGATATTTGAAAAATACATTCTAGGTCTTAAAAGATTACAGTAAAGATATGCTTTTCTTTTTCTTCTAAAAATGTATTAATTGAAAAGAAAAAGCACTCTTGTTAAATTGGCCATTGTACATTTGGCAGCAAAAGTTTTTATTCAGATACAGAACACTACACCCAGATTACCATATAGGTTTTAGAGACAAACTAAAACTGTTACCTTCCTTGGACAGCCATTTCAAAACTACCACAGCACTCTCGTGGTTTTAGGTAAAATACAACACATATGGAGTTAACATCAGTTTTACATGACTAAACACTGATCAATAAGGTTTGGAAAACCAAAAGACAGCCTCTCCAGTATTACGCATCACATAAAATACATGCACATAGAAGCAGGAATATATGTACCAGTCCTGCTTTGGAAAACTGCATGCAAGTTATTTGTCCGACAGTTCTCCTGAATTTGTGGTAAGAGCCAACATGGTGTCTTTTCTGACACAAAAGAGTGGGCCCTCATCTCACCACAAATTCAGAAGAACTATGGCAGGGACATCTCATTTCAATCTGTATTACAAAAACAAAACCCCACAAAACTTACGTGAACTGTATAATGCACAAGAAGTGACTTTTTATTTTGAGTCACCCTTAGCACCAACTTTGAAATGTATTTAGTACACAGTTTCAAGAACTATCGCACAATCCCTTCTCCCTCTTAAAGTTTGTCCTTCCATATGGATACTTACGAGCCGCATATGCCAATTAACTAACTGCTAGGTAAGAGACAAGTTTTGAGAATCGGACGACAATTTTCTGCTTACATGACTCTTGCTCTCTCAAAGCTTTCCCAGGTCCATGAAAAATGCTGTCACTTGCACAGACTGAAGTGCAAGTGCACTATTTTTCTGAAGTCTGATCAGGCTTTTCACTCGTTTACAAGTTTTAAAACACTACAAATTATCCAAACTTAAAATAGTAATTCTAGAAAACAATCAAGAAAAACTTAAGACATCCAATGCATGCTAGAGTGCTATCCTGACCAAGAGAATTTTCTCAATCAAAGCCTAATCCCCTGCATTACAGGTATTCATATTTACCTGTATTAACAGGATACCAGTGCGCCACCAGTCACTATGCAAGTGTGGATAATCACTTGCACGTCAAGGCAGTACAAAGACTAAATCTGTTTCCCCAAACTACTGACAATATTGCAAAGGGCTTCTTTGCACTCTAAGGAGCACAAGTTGGCTGGTAACAGACACTTGGTATTTGAATACTGGAAAAAATAACTTAATTTTTCTTTCTGAGGTAGATCACCTAAGAAACAAGGAGACAATTTCCTGCATACATGTATACGGCAAAAATCTGTATTCCTTTTAAAAGGATTGTTTTATTCTTTTACTTCCGCTACTTTCTGCCTGCCGCTTCCCAATGAATCATCTGTCACCTTACGGCCAGATCCTATTATAGGGTTACTATAGCTGAGGCAAGATTTATTAAAAGAAATTTATCAAATGTATGATTGTGTACAAGTGGCCAAAGCCACTTGGAAAACAAAGTTATCAACTTTGTCTGTTTAAATAATTTGGAGGTCAGATTTACAGATGAAGTACTAAGAAGTCACAACAATGTTTAGCAGATGATCTGATCAGTTGCAAATGCATAGTTATTTGTCACAGAATCTCCAGCTACAGAAATTTCATATAACACACATTGTGTAAAACACAGTTATAAAACGGACTTTTTATTTAACACAGATCCCTATTCCTCATACCTGCAGGAAAAAGGGAAAAAAAACCCCAAACCCAAAACCAAACACCACAAAACCGTCTAAGGTACTTGGTGCTTTAATACACTTACCCATGCAAGACCTTTGCAAAGTTGGTAACTGACACAGAAAGACCGAAGGGTAAGGAGAGGTTAAGGGACTTGCCAAAGCTTACTTGGAAATTCTGAGAGAAGCAGGCTTACTGCTCCTAAAACTAATGCTATTGTTTTAACACCTGACCACCCTTCTACTATCAGATGCGGACTATTATTCTCTATGTGGATCCCCTTATCAGACAAGCTTCTCAGTGATTTTCCTGCTATTTACAGACAGCAGATACATTTTGGGATTTGGATGCTGCATATTCTATTTTTAATTGTGGGAGCAAGTTCGTGTCATAGATTTTTCTGTCCCTCCCCAGTACAGACTTCTGCCATCCTGTTCTTTTCTCAAATTCATCCCTCTCAGCACAGTCCTCTCCACTGCTTGAGACTATTGCCAGTTCCTCTCTTATCTCTCTGATCCTGTTCTTCTCGGTCCCTGGCCTTGCTCTGTCCACACCTCACCTGTATGCTTTCTTGTAGACAGCTGAATTACGTGGGCACCACCAGCAGAAACATTGAAAGCCTTGTGCTTGTCTAGACTGCGAAAGGATGGACTAATGGCTATGTGTACGTATACATACTTAGCTAACATATGTATACTTATCTAGTTCTACTACTTAACCAATTATCAGAGCACCAGTGAGGTAAGGAGCCAAAGCACTAGGAGAGAAAGAGTGACTGTATACTCATGTCGCTGCAGACTATTAAAACATCACAAATACAAGGTAGAAGGAAATGAAATTAATTCTTGGCCAATACCTACTGAAAGGAGTAGGGACTAAAGGCCCAAAACATAGTACTTCTAGGTAAAGTACACAAACCACAACGGAAAACGCTCTCAGAATTAGCAATAGGGGTTTATATCACCTTTTCTATCTTCTTTCAAGTGTTCTTCCTGAACTTTTTAGAGAGTTGTCTTTTTGTCACCTGTTGCATGAAGCAGGCAATAGGTACAGTGGGGTTTAAAGCACCAGCAAAAGGTCTGACATTCTAAACATCACAAGTATCTACAAACAAAAGTGAAATGGACTTGTGCTATTAGTTTTCTTAACTACAATAAACAAGTAATTTTATTTTTCATGATATTACAGTGCAATTTTCAAAAGCACTAAAATGCTTTTCCACCATTTCTAATTGTATCCAACTGCACACGATTGCTTCAACAGGAGAAAACCTAACTGAACTAGTTTTACTGTCAGTACGTCAAGAAAAAGCACCAGGAAGGTATGTCTCCTTCCCCAAGAAATTATGGGACAGCAGAATACTACTTTCATAACAGAAAGCTAGAGGGATGATCTGTCCCCTAATTAAGAAATATTTTTGTTTTTTAAACAAGAAAAGTGCGCACAAACAAAACACAGAATGAATTAAAAGGCTGAACTAGGGAAAAAAAAAAAAAAAAGAAAGATGTCTGGGATTTGCCAAATTTCATGATCAAAGTTTGGTAACGACAAATAAGTTTCTGGGGTTCAAAGTCTTAATAATCAAGGAATATAGCATTTGGATTAAATATGGACTCAAGAAAAAAAAAAAGGGTTAAAACACTCCAACACGTTCAAGATGCTAGAGAGCAAAGAGGGTTCAAGTTAGTTTGTGGAAATAGAAGCAGATTAAATATCTAGAAATAGTTTAATGAGCCACTATATACATGTGGAAGTGTTTCCATTAAATACTTATCTTTTACCACAAGCCAAGCTCTGCAGTGTGTGTACCCTACTTCTGGTTGGTTATGAAAATAATTTTTTGATGCTTCCTGAACTATAATTTGCAGGGGTTGGGGAGGGGTATAAGATTCCAAGTTCATCTTCATGCTGTTTTAAAACCCCAACCTTCAAGCAAGAGCTTGATCTATGGGAAACAGCTGCAGAAAAGTAAACCTCCCTTTGAAAAAGTCCAGAATGTATTTTTGTTAAGTATGTTTTGAAGTCATGGTAGGAAAATTAGTGAAAATTGTAAATCTGCTTGCAAATCTGGTCGTGTCTAACTCAAAGATTAGGGGAAAGATTCCAATTTAATAGTAAGACCATGACAACCCTAGTTAAGCATGCTCTAGGACAGAGCAGATGGGGCCCTTCGCTCACCTCCACGCGCTTTGGATTTATTGCAAGCACCCAACACGTTTCATATTAGACACCCCTTGACTGTGTACTTGAGACAGCAGGGTTCAGTATGCACTTCCTCTGCAGACCAATATATTATTCTAAATTGAGCTAAAGTGTTTCCGTTTCATGAGTGATATAAAGTTCAGATTTGAGTTTTTAGGCAGCAGATTTGCAGTTATTCACCAGATCTTTTTTCTTCATGTTACGAAAAGCGAGCCGTAAAAAAAGTAAAAAAATTAATCTGTCTTGCTGAAAGTAATTTTGGATTTTGTTTGGTTTTGTTTAAACAAAACACACTTATATTATTGTAATAGCTTACTTGAAGGATGGATTTGATCACCTCATGTTTAGTACCAAAATACATTTAATTATGGCTTAAAATTACATCTGAAGAGGACTGCTGAGAATGCAGGTGTAAATCTATATTTTAAGACTGCCTTTTACTAAAATTCTATCCAGAATAACAAAAAACATTTTATAGAGCCAATGGAAAGGAACATAAACACTACTAAATGTCTACTCAAAATGCTAAAAAACACTCCCAAGCTTTTGTTACTTTGATATACCTGTTGATCAGGATTTACAAGTCACTCTACTTGCACATTACTATCAGAAATATCAAGTTACCACATTTAAGATTTGTGTGTACAATATCAGGAAATAGTTGGGATATTACAGGTACAGAAATTAATAAGACTTGACTTTTTAGTTATAAGCAACATACTGAATTTGACATTTTAGTATTTTACAACATTCATATATAGCAGTAAGCACTACACCATTTCAACAATTGGAAGAACAGACCTACAGAGTTACTAAGTTTTTTTGTTAAGAGTTGGATGTGTCAATGGTATTCAGAAAGAGTACATGGTCCAACCAATCAGTCCCTGTACATCAACAGGTACTACTAGCTGCAGTACTCTTTTCTTAATATTATATTTTCTAGATGCCTTGAATACTACTGCTCCTGCTTTTAAAATAAGGCCAGCAAGACGACTCTGCTTACTGAAATGAGGTTCTGGAACATATGATATATAAAGGCACAAGATAAATTAATTTAAAAGTGGCTTCTTTATTGTCAAGTTATTTTTTAGACAAAGTTTCCATATTTTATCTTTTAGATGGCATCCTCAAGACGCCTCCTCTTAAGTCAGTTGAAAAAAATCTGAACAGTAAAAAAAATACACTAGAACTGTATACATCCACTTAGTCGTTCACTTCAAGTGAAAACAATAAAGGCAGTTCTGCTGTGCACAGAAACCTAATAAGAGGGCCAGTTTGAGAATACTCTCTCAGACTGTATCAAATAATATTTTTAATGTAATTGAGAAAAAAACCAACACCAAAGGCTATGGAAATGCAGAAGAGATGATCTAACACCTGGCCTACAGAGCTCAAATCTGTTGCTCTTCACAAAGTATTAATAAGAAAGTGATTTACACATCGTCTTCAAAAGAATGTTTAATATATCCTTTGTTTCCATCTAAACATGATCATGATGTTACGCCTTAAATAAACTAACTTTCTGACCCACCCTTCATATAGCATCCCTGATATTACTTTAGTTACCGTATATAAATTCCATCATGAAATTTAAAAATGTCCTTATGATCTGATAACTCAGTCAACACAATCTACAGTATTTTGCAATAAAAATACTGAAGTTAGACTCCTTCTTTTATTACTTGCCTTTTGAATCTGTTGCCTATCAAAGTTGTGCATGCACAAACTTTCCAGTCAGGAAGGATTAGATAAGAAGTTTACTTGATGCCCAAACTGCTATTGCACAAAAATGGATTAATAATGCCCTTTCTAGGAATGTTTAGCTGCCACAAACTTCACTTTCATATAAGAAATGTCTGTTTCCCTCCAGGCTGCTACTCTATATCGTCAGAAATACAGAAAAGGGAGGCATATCTACCTCACCCTGCCAAAGGATATCACATCTTAATAGTTGATCTGTACATGTCTGAATATACTTAAGATCACAGAGAGACCAGTTCCTTTTTACAATATACTTCATTGACAGCAGTGCACAGGATTTGATGGGGTAACTAAGAATAAGGAATGGTATATGTTTTTTAAGCTTGCCCACAAATGTACAGTGGTAAGCTGTTTTCATATTTGTTGGAAGATAGAGGCTGCAAGTGAAAAGACCGTTCAGCCCAACAAGTTGGCAGTGTGACAAGTAATTCTAGGGTTGATCTATGGTGTCTACCTTCCAAGTCACAAATACATAAACAGGGAACACTGCAAGTGCTCTCATGCTTCGAAGATGATGTCTGTCAAGCCAAGGCACTAAACAGGCAAACATGGTGATGTTAGAAGTGTTGTTCATGTTTTAAGTTGTGTGACTGATAACTAAATTTGTTTAAACAAAAATGATAACTAAGAGAAACACAAGCCAAAAGAGAAAGCAACAGATTGTGTGTCAAGAAACCTCAGCCACAATTCTTGCCTCGTTTTTTTCAATGGAAAAACCTTAATGCGTGAGCTCAGCTGCTCAAGTAAATCAATTAAATTTAATTTTCCTTTTTTAATCCTCTACTCTTGAAACATTGAGACTCACTCTTGGAGTATGACAGCTCTGTTTATTATGATCTTAGTATAATCCCACTACTAGAAAAGAGTACGTTTGAATATACACATAGAAAAGCACAGGAGAAGGAGATAAGTGTCACGTCTAAAATCGGTGACCAATAAAATATCCACAGATTGGCATAATGATTGACACTTTAAGAACCATGGTACTAGAAAGCTTTAAGACTGCTACAGTCTCAGCTTACGTAATAGGTAGCCAGTCTACATGGCAAACTCAAGAACAGGGTTTTATTTATTTATTTATTTTAACGTAACAGATGCAGATGCTCACAGTAACTGCATTAAGAACAGAAAAAGGAATCAGCATCTACAAATACAAGGATGGGACAAATACAGCTGAACTTCTCACAGGATTTGGGGGAATTCTGCTTATGTCCTGAAGCCTGACTTGGATTAGCAATTCTGACTGCGCAACAGACAAAAAAAAAAAGACTCAAAAAGAGTATTTTCCTTTTTTAGATGTGAAGTAAAAGAAACATTAGGAAAAAAAAGTTCTCCAAAATACACTGGAAGTGGGCAGAGCAGGGAGAATTTATTGTATCTCTAGCCAGCTCTCATGTCTCTCTAAGTAAGGAAAGCCCTAAATGAAAGGAAGGTATGATTAATTTATCTTAAAGTAAGTGTCATTTTCTCTGTTTTCAACAGAAAGTTCACCTTCTTAGCCCTTGAAAATTACCAAGCATCAAGTAGAGGTCTCCTTGGTGAAGTGGTATTGCTAATCCAGGTGTCTTAATGTCCCATGCTACCTTCAAGCCTACGTGCCAAACAGCTGGGTCTCTTCCCGTCAGTTTTTGTTCATTACTTTCTTCCATGGCTGAACCTGTAAAGAGAGAGAAGGAAAAATACCACAAAGACAACAGACAAGGCTAGAAACATAAAATACAAAAGCTGGTCTAACAATACAGATTTAATTATTTCTCACATTGGTACAACCTTAGTAGGCTTAAACTTCCTATAATCTCCATTTGGTATAATCACCACCTCCAAATTCAAAAGTACATAATAAGGGAAGAAAAAAAAAAAAAAAAAGCCACATGAGATCAGGAATTTTTTTTTGCAATCAACTTTACCAAGATGAAAACTGCACGTTAACTACAAAGTAAAGACAAATCAAGGCAAAGTCCGTAATGGACTCAAGCTTTTCTGAAGTATCAAGTACGTGTAATGGGAGTTTTAGTTAATCTTCTCTCTTAATTTTTTAAACTTTTTTTTTTACATTACTAAAACTGTAAGCATAGACGAAAAACAAAACAAAACAAAAAAGCAGCAACACTGATATAAAAATAGGTAACTACTGAAAGGATTTCAAGTCATAAACTGCCAAAGTATTTTATAAACAATACTTGCAATTTCACCAAATCATAAATTGAGGCAAAGTAAGGTGAAATGATGGGCACAAAACACAATCTAGACCAAAGCTGATTGAATCTTGGAATCATATCTGTCATTATTTTCTCAAAATTGTTAGTCAAACATGCTAGATAACATGTGCAAGAGCCAACAAAGCTTTAATACATTTGTTACAACATTTTTCTTATCATTAAGCAACATGAATGTGTTGAGCTTGGGGAAAAAAATAATCCACTGCATAGAAATAGTATTTAGAGCTTAATCCCTCAGAACTGTTTTCATAAGCTTACTTCACTGCAGTATAAATTGAAAGATACAGTCAGCATTTATAACAAGGTATTTGAGAGCTATGGTATAACAGTTTTATGGCTAAAGTAACAGAGCATTTTGACAGAGGGAGGATGAAGTTTTAATAAGCAGTTGGCACAGAATGGCAGTGAACACTTAGAAATCATCAACTATGTAGCATGCCTCCTTATTGCTTTTAAGTTAGTAACTGTGCTGTCCATTTCACTATCCGTTTCAAATGTGCTTTCATGTAATAATTTTTAAAACTTTTGTCTTCATTTAATTCTAAAATAAAAATACTAAAATAAAGATTTATAACTCTTATAATATGCACACATAAAAAGTAACCTTGAACTCACACTTCCAAAATATTCAACTCGTTCATCTCGCACGGTTACTGCAATATTTGTTTAGTTGGGCATAGCCTTTAATAATTAATAAATTGCCCTGATTTTCTATGTCAATTAAACATTGCCTAAATTCAGGAGGCAGAGAGCCAAAACCTTTTAAACAGCTAATCTAAAGTTCTTAGTTAAAACTTCTACAGTAAATTCAGGCCCCATATTCCCTCCCTCCACTGCTGCAGTTCTCATCCAGCTGAAGTCTTGGCTCAGGAGCAGCTCTAGGCCTTTCTATCAAGGAGCACACAAATGAGAAAACATGAGCTAGCAAATACTCAGAAAAATCAATACTAAAGTCTTCAAGGGGCTTTCATATTTTCTGCGCTGTTCAGATAAATCGTAACCTAATTTAAGAAAAATGTTTTTTGAAAACTGCAAATAGGATGGCTTTCAAGGCATTTTTAATGCAATACATCATGGATATTATAAAAAGAGGTAACCTTTCTGGGTTAACTCTCTCTGTTACACTGCTTTCCCATTCACTTTGGCAGCAGCACTGTTCACAATATGGCACCAATAAAATATAGAACTACAATCAGAGACAGCAATTTCAATCAAAGTTTCCTGGGGTCTCCTCATAAATCCAGCACCTTTGGAATGTGCTCGTTAAAATGACTTATTTTTTGCAGTTTGATAAATTTTTTATTGCTTAAGTACAGAGTTCAAATGTAGCTCACAGTCTCCTTTTCTCTATATTCTCAATTATTGCACCTTATAATTATTAGCAGCAATTGAAACTGATTGCTCCTACTATGTTATTTTGGTAACAAATGGAAGCAAGCTGCTACTAGCTTTTAAATGCAAGCTATTCTGAAAGTGAGACCAAGCAAAAAAAAAATAAAAAAACAGGCACCTTAACATTTGTGGTATAGCTTTAGGTGGCGCTGACAAACTTTTACGTAAAAAGAAGTTGTTATTAAATTCTGTGTGTCACACCTCAAGCATGATTGAATGCTGTATATTCATTGATATAATTACAGTTCCCATTTAAGTGAAAACATTTGGATGCATCTAAACCCACATACACAGCACCTTAAGAACATGTATTTATTTTGGATTATACTACAGAGAAATGGTCAAATGTAGCAGTATTTAATGGAAATACAATAAAACAATCTGCAAGTTTGAATTCTGTTAATTAAAGATTTATAGAATTTGGCCTGAAGAAACCTTTATGCTTGCATCCCAAATGAAATGGTGCAACCAGGTTACAAGCTTACCACAACATAACAATACCTCATCAGACCTCCAATTAGGGTAGAACCATGAAAGAGAGAATGTAGCTGCAGAAAACTGGCCACAACATTATGCTTCTTTCTAACTAGATAGCACAAATTTCAGAGATGTTACAGTTCTAAGACCTGACCTTATCAGGTTTGGGTCATGGTTAGGTTCATAACAACATGAAACTTGTTTTCCTGGATCTAGTTTGGTTATTGTTCCACAAGCAGAAAGTAAAAGTAGCCTTGAAAGTTTATTTGCTATTTGGCACCAAAACCTTCAAGACGAGTTTGAGAGTTTTTTGACACTCTGAAACCTGAATGTTCTCTATTCAAGTCAAACTATAATGCCAAACTATATCCTAACCGTAGTCTTAAATCAAACATGATTGCTTAGATCAAGGTATCACTGCCAACACATTCATAAAACCACGGAGGACTGTAAACATCTACCTTGTCATTAAATCCAACTGACCATTGTTATATAGATAAAGAAGAAAGACTTTTTTCTTCTTTTCTTTTACAAATTGATCTTTCCAGAATGGAAATGCCCCATTTGGGCATGTGTTCAGCAATTAATGAAATATATACATTATTACTGTCTTACATAGCAATTTATATGTTTACGTGCAAGAAGTGAAAAAAAAACCATGCTTTGTGTTTCAGCAGCTGACCATCTACCCAGAGTTATTTCGTCTACCTTACTACTGATAAGCCATAGCATAAAAGGTTAATTAAACTGTACTAACATTTTAATGTTTGCTTGCCACTGACATTCACAAAAACAAAAAATGGGACAATGATTTGCCAACATTGTCCTTAACAATTCGTATTTGGAATACTGTGTCCAAATATATCAAGAACAAAAGCACTAAAATAAGAACAAAGAATATTCTGTCATCCCTTCATTCTTGAAGGAGAGGCTTCATTTGATCAAATCATTGAGAGCATGGGTAAAAAAAACAAAAACAAACAAAAAACAAAACAAACCACAGCCCACAACAGTTAATTCAAATCATGGTTTCTTTTTAGAAAACAGGGATTCAAATCTATTATTACAAAAGTAATTGGATCATGAAAAATTTGTAATTCCCTTGGAATATAATTCTAGCTGGCCAGAATCTACAAGTTACAGATGTGACCATTTCACTCACATAGTCATTTCTTAAGAAGTAATATATATTTTTCTACATACCATTTCTATTCTTTCAACAAGCAATATTTCTACTACATTTCTACTACATGACAATATAAACCATTTAATATAATTACTCTTATCGTGTACAAACGTCTACTCCAGGACATTTATCCATTAAGCAGTACATAAAGACGATTATTGGTCCACTAAACATTTAGATTGACTACAATTCTGAACAACTGTTGTAGTTTCAGGATTTTTTTTTAACCTAGTGAGGAAACATATATCTGTAGTGAATCTCAATTTTTCTTTTTCATGATAGCGGCTATTTAATTTCTACAGTAATTAGGGTTAGTGCTAGGATATTGCTTCTAATATCACAGTGTGAAAAAATACAAACAGCGTTTTACAACAGAAATAAGCATAAAAGATCTCCTTCAAGATCAGTCATTACTGCAACTAACTGGAAGTTTGTTAAACCTTTCAAAACTAACCTTGCCAGTTAACAGAGCCAGTTGTTCAGTACTTCAAGAGATGTACAGAGCAAGTAAGCACTACAGGAAGACGACAAACAAGATACTGTAAGAAATCTAGAGAAAAGTACTTATCTAACCTCCAACAGAGTTTGTGGGAAATTCAGGTAAGAGAAAGATGGACACTTCCAGTGACTATATTATCTTCCATCTCCCTTAATTTGGTAACTGAAGCAAGTCTCTACTTCAAAGAACATCTTTAGAACCAACTAGGGCTCTGCTAAGCAATAAAACTTCCTACAAAACTTACTAAGACCTGAGGGAAAACTGTTCATTAGGAAATTTTCAGGGATAAAATCCAGTTTTTGAAAATGCCCTTATTCCACCAGTATTTGGATTACAATTCACTTTTATAAATAGAGCAGGAAATTAAAATGGGTTATTAGCTTACTATATTACAATCCTGAAGAAGTTTTTACTTTAATGCTCTCATGTGATAGGATATGGGTAAGCTAATGTGTTATTAAAATTTCTAAATTGGTCAAAATTTGGAATTACTGTTCCATGATAAATTCTGAGAAGTAAATTAATTCTGAACAACGTTAGTGACAGTATAATTGAACACACAGTTCATAATGTATTCAGTTCTGCAACTGCATCATGTCTACCACTCATGAGTTTTCACATAGTATACGCATTAAAAGAAAATTTCCCAAATTTTTGTGAGGGACTATTCTCATCCCCTGATAATGTACTTTTAACCTCGTGTAATGTAATGCATTTGATTTCAATGTAAATAAAAGTAAATACTATTCAGATCAACATCAAGCAAAACATCTATCTTATTTTGTTACTGGAAATGTACCTCATTTGAAGTTACTTTGAAACAGTTTGACAGTGGAAACAAGAAACCAAACAGTGATACCACCTAGAATATCAGCTTGTTCCCGCATCTTTAAGTTGTTTCTCAAATTTCTTTTCTGGCATATTAAAAACCCACTTCTACTCCAATTAATACCGATCAAAGTTTCTAACATTAAATTTTCATTATAGCATCAAATACTGAACAAGCAAACAAAAAAATGAAGTTGTTTCAATTACAGCATGATCTGTTTTAATACTATTTAATCATAGTAAGTAGGTACCAAACAAATAATGATATAAAAATGCAATTTAAACTAAAAATAAAACCATATAACCTGAGTTGTGCATCTCTAAACAGTCTGACAAACAGCTGCCATAACGTGGTAAGATTGCCTGACTCCAAGGGCTCCTGCTGTTCAAAATCTGAAAACCTGGGGATTCTGCATTTGTGGCAGGATGGATTGGTACTAGCCATGCAGGTCTGGAAGCCCTAGCTTCCCCATGCCACGGGGCTCCCACAGATCCTCGGGGTTTGCAGTACCACAGAGACCAGTGAGAACCTGAGGAATAGAGATCGGACAAAAAAATGTGCAGGACCTAGCAGAATATCAAGCTAGTTTTAATAAAAATCAACATGCCTTATTTATGTTTGAATTTCCCCCAGAATTAGTGTTCTCTCCTAGAAAATTACTAACCCATCTAGTCATTATCTGAGGAAAAATTGTTCCATCAAAAACATTCTGACCACCTCTCTGCTTTTTATTACGTATTCTATAATGATTCTGTGATAGTCTTTATACACTACCATGAGATTTCTATGCTAAATCAATACTAAATGAATAAATGGAGTAAGTATTAATAAAAGATACTGGCATAAAAAGCGCAGATATTTATGGAAAATGTGAAGAGTAGTCTAGACACACTTTCACAAAGATTTAACAACAATCTTCAAAAAGATGCAGAGCTTCTTCATGCTTCGCAGTTATGGGGAGCCTGATAGGAGATATAGTAAGTATTGACAGTCTTTGTGAACTACAGAAACCAACAACACATTGAAGTGATATGGAATTGGAAGGAATAATATTATAAGCACTGATCAGTTTATAACCACCAGCATTTGAAAGCTATAAACAGGAAAACACAAGAGCAAAAAGACCATCTATTTATTTCTCTAGAATCAAGTAGACTAATTATGTCTCTTGGACGCCCTGGGTAGAAAACTTCAACATACACAAGTATTTAATGTCACTTTAATTACACTGCCATATTCATAAGCTATAAACAGGTTCCATTTCCTCCAATTTATGAGTAAGTAGGCCAACTGTAAATACGGCTTCACTTTAGGGATATACAAAGACAACCACAACCTGAACACAGACAGATGTGATTGAACTGTTTTCACATAAAGGTATATACTACAGGACATCTCCTCATCATGCTCAGGAGCCATGCTAAGGACCTTAAATTCATTCTCAAGTTCATGAAATGAACCTGAGCCATGCTCAAGAGCTATCAAGCGGATTTCAACCTTGTTCAGATTTAGATCTGACTGCATAAATCATATTCTTCCCAAAAAGTGTCTTTTACGCTATCTCCAGCTACACTGAGGTTTTAATATCGGCACGTCCTGCCAAGAGATATTTTTCCCCCCACAATATATTATCACATTTTAGTTTGATCAAAACCTCTGGAATCATTGCAAAAATATAAAAATTTGAAGTAGTAATTTTAAAATATTTTTTGTAAATGTAAATGATAGAATGATCCATTTATTCCATGGCAAGCTCTTAGCTTTTTTTAAGCTTTCATGTCTATTTTTAAATTCTTCAGGAAAAAAAAACAACATAAAAGTTTAAGTACGAAAAAATCTTGTATGTGGCAAAACCACTAATTACATATATATATCAATTTTTGGTCTAAATATACCAAATATTTCTTTCTATCCTAATCAAACCTTGCATAGAATTTGCAGCGGTTTTAAAACAGCACAATTTTTACCTATCTAACTTGCTGAACTTGAAGAAACAAAATCAAGTGATGAGTTATGAATAAACACAGAAGCTTGCTTTTTTTGTTAATTTATAGCGCTCTGAACTTCAAGGGACTCATATTTTCCCCTCCACATGCAAGTTTTATGTTAAAGTAATAAGGTTTTAAGCATATTACAATAAATCCTCACACACATTATTATTCCTTCAAGTTCATGTTTATTTTTCTTTAACTTAAAATGTTACTGAAAAAATATTTATCTACAGTACTACTGAAAAAAAAATACATTTACTGGACATAAAATATCAACGTCTTTGGCAAATAGGACAGAAAAAAGTTCATGAACAAAATAACACTTCTATTGGTCAAGGAATCTCTTTTATTCAGTTTGCTAAGCCAGCTGATGTTTTATGTCCAGGAAAATGTAAACATGATTTCAGATGAAAATTAAGTTAAAGTGACCCATAGTTTCAAAGCTAATAGCAAAACTAGCAAGAGAATGCACGTGAAAGTATAAGCTATTATTTTTACATCATGGTCTTTAGCCAAAATCTACCAAAACCAATGTGAATTTTTCCATGTTTTGAAGCAAACATCAAAGGATTTCTGGAAGGACCAAAGATCAGTCATGATTTATGAAACATAACGGAGCATTTGAAAATTCAAATCAAATGTCTAAATTTTGATCTTACGTTTGCAAAACTGGAAACCATTTAAAAAAAAAATCCAAGGCTTTGTTCAAAAATTGTTAGGAAAGAAATACACATGAATCTTCATGTCTGTTCTTGAGATAAAGACTAAAAAAGGGGAAGGTACTTTAAACTAGAAATATTTAATGACTCTTCAACGACACTCTTTTCCCCTAATACAGCATTTAAATGGTTTTTAAACAACTGAGAGCCTGCAAAGCCTGTCAGACAACAGGTCTTTCAATGGAAAACTTCCACCCTTCCCAACTACAGAAACATTGGCAAGTCCTCAACAAAACATGCATTAGCACTACAGCACGCCTAGACAAAATGTATATGCTTCCAAGTTGTTCTAGTTTTCAACTGGGATAGAGTTAATTTTCTTCACAGAAGCTAGTATGAGGCTTCTAGTTGTGGATTTGGGATGAAAATAACATTGATAAGACACTGATGTTTTCAGTTGTTACTAAGCAGTCAAGGACTGTTCAGCTTCTCACCCCACCCCACCAACGAGCAGGCTGGGGGTGCACCAGAAGCTGGGAGGGGACACAGCCAGGACAGCTGGCCCCGGCTGCCCAAAGGGATATCCCATACCGTATGGCATCATGCTCGGCATACAAAGCTGGGGGAAGAAGGGAGAAGGGGAGGATGTTCAGAGTGATGGCGTTTGTCTTCCCAAGTACCCGTTACATGTGATGGAACCCTGCTCTCCTGGAGATGGCTGAACACCCGCCTGCCGATGGGAAGCGGTGAATGAATCCCTTGTTTTGCTTCGCTTGTGTGCACGGCTTTTGCTTTACCTATTCAACTGTCTTTGTCTCAACTCACGAGTTGTCTCACTTTTACTCTTCCAATTCTCTCCCCCATACCACAACGGGGGAGTGAGCAAGCAGCTGTGTAGTGCTAGGTCGCTGACTGGGGTTAAATCACAAGACAAGTAAATACAGTAATACGTTAATACAAAACCAACCTAAAATGATCTTTCCAAAGGAAGAAGAGTAGTAAAACCAGCATAAAGCAGAAGCAAGCTTGTATATGGCAAATAACACAGTAAAGACAGTGATCTCAACTACAATTACACATTTTACAGGATAGAAAAATATGCACATGCATTAACCAGAAATAGGTATTTGACAGATTTTGATTTCCTGGCTCTTCGTCAGGAAGTTAATCAGACCAATTTTTAAATCTACTTAGAGAACAACTGATAAGCCATTTGCAGTAAACACAGGTATATTTTGTACAAGTTTTAATAGAAATAAAGATAGGGCTCAAATATAAGAAGTACCACTATGTATTCAGAAGCACATGACAAATCTAGACTAGCGTGCAGGTGTGCTTATGTACATACACACATAGGAAAGAAACGTGGAAGAGCTTCAGAAATGTAAGATATTTATATCACTAGTCAACTCATATCTTCCATCACTCACCTTCACAGCTGTAACTGTACACAGCAACCGTTGACCTTTCAACCAAATTCTCGTCATGGTGCCAGCTCACTGCCATGTTCCCCATTCCAAAATAAGGTTCTTGTTTCAAGTACAGCATTTGTAGTGGATCCATGTAATTTAATAAAGTCAAGTTATAAGATGTTCTGTTCTTTATACTTATGTAGTCATCGTCTGGTACACAACAACTGCTTTGATCTTTTGAAACAGACCCTTTCTCTGTAAGAGGGGTAGCAAAAATTTGCTCCCTATCTATTACAGTAGTATCTTTAATTTCTTTGGTCTCAAACAAATTTTGTCCTTGTAATGCCTTGACTGCTTCAATATGCAAGTAGTCATTAAGTCTGATTAATGCTTTACAAGCATCATGTATTTGAGGACTGCAATATTTTAGATCATAACCTTCAGTAGGCCAAGGAACTGTAAATAATCTTGTATTCAAGTACTTGTAAGTGCATCCTGGGTTTCCAATTAATATACGAGACACTGGGGTAAGAAAATCTTTTCCTTTGATCCTTACAAGATCTCGAAAGAAACAATCATGTTTTTGCAAGGTCAGAAATCCTTCTTGTACCATTTGATGGAGCTCTTCAGGTACTGTATCAGATTTTCTGAAAATCAGCTTGGAATACTTGGTCTTCCACTAAAGGAGAAAAACAAACAAACCAACAATAAAAACACCAAAATAATTATTCTTTTTACAGGAACCGAAGTATTTCAAGTTATCAAGCATTAGTCTAGAATATGGTGAAGAAATAGATGCCAGTATTTATCACTTTATTTTCAGATTCCAATATACTGCACAAACTGTGGATACGTACCAGTGGCCACCAACCAGAGAGTATCACCAGGGCAAATCTCTAAATAAGTAAATAACGATTCTGGCAGAAATCAATAGAACGTATTATCTAGAGATTCACCTGGGGAACTTATACTACTTTAAGTATATAAACAATAGAATATCAACCAGTAACAAAGCAATTCCTCTTTTTGCGATGGCTGCAAAGACTGTTCTGTCTCATTCTGATGTACAGAATTCTAGAGGGCTAAATGACAAACTGGAATAGTTTTATATAACAACAATTTTTTGGGCAAAAACAACAAATGAAAATGTATACTTTCAAAAAAGGCCAACATTTTGCTGCACTATCTTCAAAATAGTCCTTGACATACTGGTCCTTTCTATTTTCACATTCCTCAATGCCTGCCAGTTAGCTCTCCTAATTTAGATACAAGGTCCCTTTTTAGATAAAAGAAAACTTCCAAACTCATCTTCCTCCCCATCTTCCCACCTGTAATACCCTTTTTCGTCATATCCTTTTCTGACCACACCAGCTCTGGTATCAGCTGGAATTCAGAATCCGTTAGTGTGTGGAGGCAACAACCCCCAGCAAGGTATAATGCTGCTAATCAGCACTACCTTGCTTTGTATGCAAAAAGCTGCTTCCCACGCCAGGAAGGCTTGGATAAATTTATTTTGTTAATCTGGTTTTCTAAAGAAGTATCACATAATCACACCTTTTATTGGTTGCCTGTAAATCTGCTTTAGCTACTGCTGAGACTGTTTGGTGAACTGGACAAAAACTAGAGAATAAGTTCTTGAATAGACTGAATTCTGATGTACTTCATTAAAATTAATAGATAAATAAAAGAAATAGATGCAAACTACTGCCCTTAAGGGAAAGGTTGTAATGTGAGCCTATTAGGTATCAATGTGTGAAGCTCCAAACCACCCACTACGCCTATTCCCTTCTGTCCAGAAGTTTGTCACTAGTCTGGGGAAAAGGTAAAAACTGGTTGTGGTGTGGGAAGAAAACTTAAGGTAAACTGAAATCTGAGGGCAATGGGGCAAGAGCACATGGATGCACAAAACTGATCTCTCCAAAACCTTTACTAACATAACAGCTTATGTTCAAAGTGCTTCTAAAAAACAAGTAAAAGCCACCAGCACAAAAGCATCACACTGACCTGTGATCCACCTGTGGGCTCCTTCTGGTATAACTCAAAACCACTTTACAAGTACTATCGACTTCCAAGTCAGATTTGAACCTGCCTTTCAGGAAATTAATTTTAAAATTCGGAAAATGTGCCTTTAAAAGCACAAACCAGGCAGTAAGTCAGTAAGCACATTTTCTACCGCATGAAAACAGTTAGACCTTTGCATCATAACACGTTGTTATCCTACAGCACTGAAGAGGTGGCTTTACAGGATCATTTGTTTCCCCTAAAAAGGGGAACATAAAAGGAAGTCTATTTTAAAAACAATGATTACACATAATAAATCTTATGTTATCTATAAACCTTGCTGCCATTACTTATAAATTTTTACAATGAAGCTAACTCCCTTTTTTTTTTTTTTTACACATTCCTGTGGTTTCCAGAAACTAGCTTCATAGAGAGAGGTAAAAAAACCCTAACGTTATCTACAGATAATAATAACTTCTGACAATAGCACTTACATGCTTAACATTAAATACCAAAGCTTGCAAATAGTCCCAGATATCTGTTTGAAGGTCCCTCTGCAATCCCCAGCACAGAACACTGGATCCCAGCTTTCATGAAAAGAACTGAATATAAACTTGATAAGTGCAATTCTCCTGAGCTTGCCAAAAGCCTGAAACAATTCCTTTAGGGGTCCTGAACTGTCACCTTTGTTTCAATCGGTGCTTTGTATCTGTAGCCTTTGAACAGTACGGTGAAAAAAATCCTTACAAAGAGTAAGTACTGAAATCAGTAACTGCAAATTTTAAGGATTTACAGCTATTTTACAGTCACATGTGTGGATATAAGTTGATGGGAGTCATAAGTATTCTTTCACAATCATACTTAATAATGACAGAACATTATATATTGTGACATATAAATATTATTACTGTATGATTTGTTTCATTATGCAAATGACATGTATAAAAGAAAGGAGCACTAACAGTTCTCTATTAGTATCCCAGTATTTCTTTGGACATATATAGAGTATATTAGACATACTCAGGTCAGATTAACCAATTACCACATTACATATGCTATTATGGCATATTTTAAAAGTCATTATTACTACATATTTTTAAACCATTTAATATACTGAATTTCTGACATGAATCACATGCATGAAATTTGAAACAGTTATTACAAACAAAAGGAGGGAAATAACAATACTATGTAAAGCAACTAAATGCCTGGAAACACACACTAGAAAGGAAGCATACAGATTTTATGAAGGTAACAACATGGTATTTCCCTCCTGAACTGCAGAGATAATGTGTTTCACATTTTGTCGCCAGCCAAGTCAGAGGCAGGTTACTTTTAGGGTGTGTTTTAAGATTACGTGCTTAAGAACTATTTTATCATTAAGCTTTACACAGTATACTTGGGATTCTACCTTGCAAAACAAAACAAAAAACCACACATATCTCAGAAGCAAGCAGGAAGTGGAAGCACATTTCCAACACATCACATGAAAACAGTTTGGTCATCTTTAAATCTCTAACCATTCATTGTGCTATGTCCTACATAAGGAAAGCATTAAGGGATCAGAACACAGGGTGAACGCTGGGTTCACACTGGACACCTTGTTGTTTTGGGGGATGGGAAAGGGGAAGCAACCATGTACTCTGTGTTGTAACTCTGACAGCAAGTATTAAAGGTGAATTCACTGTTCACTCTGAAAGAAGTAGGTATGTCACTGGCAACTACAGGACAAAAAAAAAAGGCACACTGACGCTCAATTCCTCATATGAATGTTACACACGTGATTTTAAATATACACAAGCCTTAATTTCTAATGGTGGTACTCAATACAGAGAATCACCCTACAGGATGACTCAAGTGATAGAATAAAAGTTAGAAGTCAGCAATAAGGAACCTTGCTAAACAAACCACCACTTAAATCATAAAATGATAGTTCGTACTTCAGTTATTCGTGAATTGCCTTTAACAGACTTCGCCTTGTTCACACTTGGCTTTAAACATTACATTGTTTCAGCCTATGGTTTGGGGCCCGTTTCTAAAATCCTTCATCAAGCAAGACTCATTGAAAGAGTATGTCAGTGAAGTTTTGCGTATGATGGAATTTCTTCATTTTGTTCACACTGTACGTTTCCATACCTGACAAGATACTGTAGTTTTTTACTAACATCCTACCTAACCTTCCCAACACATTCAAATATCCTGCTTTATAAGGGTTGAATCCGTAAAGGAGCAAGGCAAGTCTCTCCAGGAAAGACAGAGTATGAAACTAAACTGTATGTGGTATTTTATTTTGCCAGTTTGTTGTCTTCAAGCTCTCACCTTTCATCTCCTCTCTCTCTATAGTACATTTAAGCACCATGGAACTTGTAAAATCTACAGCTGTGATTAAACTAACATTTCATAGCCACCGTAAGAATTTGGTGATTCTTATACATGATAAGCATCATGCATTATCGTGCACTATTACATATAGTTCACAATTCCTAGCATGCACACAAACACTACACAAAAAGTATAATTCTATATGATTCAAAAAGAATGTATCTAAACTCTATTAAGGCCTGAACAGGTCTGATTTCACTGCTTATCTTGTTGCCATTGTCTTCTATATTTATGGGTTACTGATACTGAGCAAACAAGATGCCATTTGGGCAGCCTTGGCTCCATCTTCTCTTTTCACGTCAGCTCCAAGAGACTGTGGATTTGCAAAGATGAAGAAAAGAAAAAGATGCTGGGCGTAGCAGCTCTTGTCAGCAACAGGTATAAAAGAAGAGAACAAACAGGAAGGGATGTAACAGGACTAGGAAGCTACCTGAGTCTCAAAAGGGAGAAGAGCTTCTTGAATGTTAGTTTAAGACTGAAAAGAATGTTTGGGGGGCTTTTATTTGTAAAGGGGGAAAAAAAAAAAATCACTGTTAAGCTCTTCTACACTTTTCCAGCTCTTCTGCACTTCTCCTTGCCCTTACCCACAGAAGTGCTTTCATAGCTAACAGTAAGTTATGTGTTTTCATATTATTATATCCTTACAGCTGTTGAAGATCCCAGTCAACAGCTTATTTCCACTACGTTCAGCACTGCAAGGATACGGAGAAAACCATGCTTTCCCTAAGCAGCCCACAACCCAAATGAACAAGAAAGGCGAGGGAAATATACAGACCACTCAATATCACAATTGTAATCCCGTGACAAAGCTGGAGTTTGAATTCGTTCTTCTCAGTCACAGTCCAGTACCTGACCCACAAATGCATCTTTCCTCTTCGGTTGTGTGACGTGTGCTAAACTTTTCTAGGCCTTGGAAGCCTGCAGAGAGAAATTCATCCTTGCAAGGAAAGAGTCATACCTATTTTTATGCTACCATATACATCTTTGAGCCATATGTCAATACAGGAAAGGTGACGTGCCTGTAATGTAAGCAGACTTGCTCTAGCTGTTCAAACTATGAGGTTCTTTCTTAGGCTTTTCATCTTACCATGTTCTGATTTGATCTGATTGAACCTAAAATTCTTGCCACATGTTTTGTAGCTGACCTAGAAAGATCCAAGATAGAAGCAGAATCTTCTATTCATTTCACAGTACTCTTCCATACACCCATTTGGTTTACTACTCATGTGGCTGCTGGGCCTGTTTTTACTCTTATTTGGTTTCATTTGAGGCATGCATTCCAGTTTCCACAGTTTGTTTTTTAAGCAAAATCTTAAGGGATACTTACTGTTTGAAAGTAGAATTAAGCCAAAAAAATTCAAATTTCTGTATAAATATTTTCCCTGTTTTGCCAAACTTGAGCTATAAAGAATAGTTCTAAGTCAGAAAAAATACCACCACCACCCGCAAAACAAAACAAAACAACTTTACAAGAATGGTGACTGACTTTATTTTACCAAAGCATGAGAAACTGATTCACTGTTACATGTGTTACCTGGTACTCGGGTACTGATACTCAGGGCAAAAGCCTAAAGATAAATGAAGTTCATAAAGTTTTCATTCTTGAATAATCCAAATTCTAGAGGCCTTATTTTGCTGGAAGTACATTATCAGCCATTGGGACACCCTTTTCATATCCGATTTCACAGTGTATCTTTTAAGAAAGATTTATTTCTTGTTCAGTGCAAAGAGCCATTTTAGTTTAGAACAAGTACAGTTAAAAGAAATACATTACCAACTGATGGAAATCAGCATCGTCTGGTGTCATATATGGAAGTCTATTCTCTCCAAGTTCTTCAAGAAGCTTTTTTTTCTGTTTTGGAGGGGTAAATTTGAAACAGAAAATTAGACTGAAACGCAAGATATGAACAGCCAAGTATAAAAGTAATTGTATTAAAGACACACAAATGTGTGCAATTATTTCTCTTGCTACCGTCAATTCTGGGAAATTAAATAAGGAAAAATGGATTTAAAAAAAAAAAAAATCAATGGAGCTCTTCCACTTACAATGCAGTAATTCAGGTTAGGTTGTTTCAGAGCATGTGAGTATTTTTCCTCCTAAATTCTTTTTTAAGATAATCAGTCCTTATTACACTGATGAAAATCCTTCACCAAGAAGGATTCTAATGTTCTTCAGAACTATGCGTACCTTGTACTTTGACACTAATTTCTTATTTCTTTCTCATTTTATTTTCTACCTCAATTTGTGGATCCAATGGCCACAAAGTTCTTATTCCCTTAAATGGCTCAATTATATACTTTATTAAAACAATGACCCTCAATGTTAGGCATATTATAAAATGTGTTCTGAAATGGGTATATGAAGGAAAAAGTAAACATCATCTATTGCACACCAAAGCCCCTACAACCTGACAGTATTTAAAAAGCCATACTCAAGACCTGCCATCCCAGCAGACAGCCACAAATCTCGTCTGATGTTGGGAGTATGCAAAAAACGAGCTGACTCTGAAGAGCAGGTTTTCTCTGTCCCCTTGTTCTCTTAACTCCCTTTTTATTTGTGTTTTAGACTGAGAGTACCTCCATCAATGTTTAGCCAACACAATCAGTAAGAAATTGCTAAGGTAAATGCCTGATTTTCCCCAAACTGCGTTTTCCAGGTTTTTATTAATAAAAACAGAATTTTTGCATGCATTATATAATGAATTGTGCAGCTAAAGATTTGGAAAGTGCAAGAAATGCTTGGAACATGCCATCAGATTTTTGGAATCAAACAACCCCAATCCATGACAAATCCATTCACATTTATCTACTCACAGTCTTACTCAACATTAAATCAACATAAGCAGAGATTAACAACAGTGTAAAAATTGTTACAGTGGAAGTACTGGCCTAGAAGACTAATACAGTTTCCTTTATTTAGTCTTTCTTTTAGCTTGCAGAAATGGTTTCTTTACCAACTTTGATCATTAACAAATATTTACTAACAAAAATGTAACTCAAAGATCATAAAACTACTTCTGCTATAATGCTCGAATATTTCAGATAACAGGATTCAAATTCTCAGTTTTATTGTAGTATTTTCAACTACATAAACGCTAGCAAAAGGAATAATTGAAGTTGCAGCTCGCTCAATACTTTTATGTTGTAAGAATAAGACCAGACGGAAATGGAATACAGTTTTTAGACTAATTGTAAGGGTATAATACAAAGGAAAACACGGCTTAAGTTAAAAAGGGTATCACTAACACTTTCATAAACCCAAGTTATATGGGAACAACTACATATTCATCACCTAGATGTCACTGCAAATTGATTATTCCATAGACAAGATATTGTTTAAAAAAAATTCTTTTTTCTGTTGTAAATTACCCTTTTCATAATCTTTTAGGGTTGCATATACAGGCCAAAACAGGTCTTCCCTATTCTGGCAATCCTATTTAAAAAAGGAAGAAAAATACTACAGTAGTAACTAACTTCTGCCTTACACCAAACACATAAACAAGGAAAACTGAACTATGAAGAGTGTTACTGTTATTTTATGCTATGACAGTGAATTTCATTTATTCAAATTTCAGCATCAACGAAGATGACAGAAGCTTAAATTCATGAGGAAGTGTAGAAGATTAGGGTTTACAGCTCACAGATCAGTCAAACTAAAACAAGAGCAAGTAGTTCTCACTTACTCATCTCCATACTTGCAACCTGCTGATCACCGACTCAATAAACTGAGAAGAGCAGCAGCAATATTTACATGCCAGCAATGTAATTTAATTTCTCTAGGTCTGTAGTTTTCTTTGGGGACAGGTTGTTGGTATGTTGACATGAAGACATGGTGAAACCCAGCATAATGTAACTTCAGATTAAGATGGCAGAAAACGACATGGTAATTTGCTGCATATTCTAAAACAATAAAACTTCTCTATTACAAAAAGCTTGCTGCAATGTTATTACATGAAATCACTGAAAACGTTAGATTTGCTTTGTTTTCTGTAATAATATATTTCAACATGGACTCACATCTGTGGGGAAAAAAAGAGGTGGGAAGAAGAAATTCTGACAATTTCTGTCAAGTACCAGCCTCTTGGCAAAAAGCACACCACAGTAAAATGCACTCTTGTGTATACGTAGTACTAGTTCACATTTGATTGTCAGATCTGGCTAAGTGCTGCTCTTCAGCTTGATGTACAGACTAATACAGACAGCTGGGTGGTATAAGACACTGCTCACCTCTTATGCAAGAAGCTGTCACACAGATGTCAAAAACATCAAGCTACTCACAAATACCTCCAAAAAGTAAAATAAGAGAAAAACTGAAGATCTGGCTATACCAGCTGGTTGATGTGTAAGCACTGTTACACTAAGCATCGCTTATAGGCTCTTTCAACACATCAGCCCCTAAATAATTTTTTTTAAAATTGCCTTTACTTGAAGGTATCAGGCATCTTAAAAGCATTTTTCTAAATCTGGTGTTTACATTTTAAAAATTATCAATAGTCTAACAGTTTATTTGGGTACCAATATTATGTTTCTTACATTTTAAAAACCAATATAATTTTTATATATATATATTAGCGATGCTAATATGTGAAAGATAATCTTATGTGCACCATCCCTATAATGTCATCATGCATTCTGCCCAGCTCAAGAAACCTTGTAACTGTTGTACTTGGGCCTTCAAAGGTGAAAACGTCTGCAAGTATCCTATTTCATAGGCTGCTGTGGCTGTTAATGGATCTATTACATCTGACTCTGATAACTGGAATGAATAACAGAAGCATTAATACCCAATTTCAGAGCGTGCGATGAACTTGCTGCAGATTTTAACAAGCTCGGATCATTTCTTAGTAATAAACAGGTTTATTAACAAGATGATTGGTTGTAAAATTCAGCAAGTGCAATAGCAATAATTGGAATCTCTCAAATCACTATACATGCCAGTTTTATTTAATTTTTTTCCTAAGTTTCTTCATGGCAATAGAAATAAAGCATTCTGTGTTACAGAGAAGGAGAAGTAATAGAAACACAGCTAACGCACATCAAAGTCACAAGCCAAAATACAGTTATATTACACACCCACGGTTTGTTATTTTCAAATTGAGTGGTATAAGGGAAAGATGGGACTGTTCTGACATTTTCTGGCCAAGAAGCATGACAGGATAAAAATTTTTGCAGCTGTCATTTCCCTGCAGGGTGTCAATATCATTCTCAAAAGGTTTGTTTCTCTCGATTGTAACACACAAGTTCAATATCTAGGCTATAAAGGTTTATGAAGGCCTTGGTGTTTCAAACATAGAATTCCCACTTTAGTTTCATCATCAAACGAGTCAGAAGATAACAGTCATTTTCCAACTGACAAATTATTGTCTAGGCTGAAACAATTCTGAAAACTAATTTTATTGAAATATTATTGAAATTAGTTCTGACAACAAATTTAAGGCTGCAATGTCGCAACAATTTCTAACACATAAAAACACTGAAAACATTTAGAAGCAAACGTTTGCTTCCCCCTGTACTTGGCACAAAATACACTGAAGAATTTATTGAAGAAATTGCATTTGTTCACACAAGGAGACTTAAGTAACTTATCTCTAAAAAGATAACCCTGTGTGCAGCCCCGCATTTCTCCTGAATTTGGGGAAAATTTCAGCTTCACTACACCAAGTAATCTCTCTGGACCTGGAACAGCATCCCATACAGGTATAAAAAGTCAGTCACACAAGTCCAAGACATGGACAGATACAACAGTGCCTATGAAACACTTTAGGATGTTAGTATTTACTTATACAACAAGAACTCACTCTGATGAGCAGCTGAAAAGGTATCTGTTATTCAAACTAGTAGACTGTCAAAAAACATGACTGCTACCCACTATTCTGGAAAAGGCCATCTCACTATTCCCTAAAAAAAGATTTTTTTCATAAAAGACAGTATTTTGGAACATCTAACAGGCACAATTCCTGACCTCTGTGAGGATGCAAGCAAACTTTTTTTCAGCCATTGATTACTTGCTTTCACCTCACAATCAGCATTATGCAGAATGAAGTAAAAGATGAATCATGCTATGGAAAAGACTCATGAAAGAAGACAATTCAAACAAAAACTGAGTATCTCACTGATGCATTTAACTTCCTATTTCCTTTTAACAATTCTTACGTATTTATTATTGACAAATATTTCATACACACATCACACTAGGGAACAACCTTTTTGAGTACTCTGCAGACGGCTAAGAACTGGCTGGACTCTGCAATTTACCTTTCAGCAAGCTGGTGCTTGCCTGATGCAGAGAAGACAGCACAACCAGCAAAACAATTCTATGTACTTATATACATTCTTCCCTGCTAAGTAATTGAATTTTCTGATTCACTACCTGACTTGTGAGGTCACAACTGTGACAATAAGTCACAACATGACTATAGTCATGTTACAGTGACTTAAAGTCCCACCTAATGTTGCCTTAATTTCATGGGATCAACAATTTATTTTTAATATACAGCAAAGATTGAAAACGCTCAGCATTTTCACTCCCACCCACCCCCAGCAATCTTAGACAAAGAGGTAAAAATGAAGGCTGAACATTTTACCTAGGCTGAATTTTACCTATATTATGTCTACATCTGACAAATAATCTTACTGGGGCTGAAGGAGGGAACAATATACTGCTACAGGTGAGAGTGCAAAAGGAAGGCCTGGTAGTTTTGAAACATCACCTCCTCTCACAGCCTACAAAAGCCCTTCTACCTTAGCTCTCTTCATCAGAAGTTCTTAATATAGTCGCCAATTTTTTAATCCTAAAAAGTTTTGCTAACTGCCTGCTGCAGTTTTTACACTTTTGAGACTACTGACTCGGGACTAGAATTAGTAAAACACAGACACTGACATCTTTTTGTCTTCAGTGCAATCCAACATGTTTGCAGAAACTTCTGGAGTAGCTTCTGAAAAAAAGGGCCTCTATTCAAAGCATAAGAAAGTATCATCTTCAGTACTGTTTTTCCCAATAGTCTTTTGTTTTCCAAAAGGTTATCAAGTTTAGCGAGGCATTCTGACAATATGTATTGTCATGAAAGAATAACCTGTATCACAAATTTAAATGCAAACTTCTGGTTTTCCAAAAATCCCTCCTTTCTATTAGCTTCTTGCCCACATAAGAATGTACATTAGGGCCTGTGTTTCTCTTTTTTTTTTTTTTTTAATCAACTAAAATAAAACATGGATTTCTTTCAACTCATGCATGAAGAAAAGGGCTAGTGCTCTGAAGTGAGAGCTCAATGGCTTTATAAAGGAGAAACATTAAATACTTTATATAGTAAAAATTTTGTGACACAGTACTAAGACCCCATCTAGAAAAAAGCCACCACTTTACAGGAACTTCCACAACCTTACCTCCTAACATTCTCTCACATGTTTTTAAAAAAAGAAAAAAAAAAAAAAAAAAGGAAAAAAATCCACCAAATTTAGGATAGTTACTTAAGGCAGGAATGTGATTTTGAAGTTGACAGTTGTTTAAACTGCAAGGCTTTGCAAGTGTTAGCCATTAAAACTTCATAGCAACCAAGATCATTCAAGTGGCTCACTAAAACCAGTTATGCCAGAAATGAACCTCGGTAATAAAAAATACATTCTAAATGCACTATTACCGCTTCTATTTCTCCATTATCACATATATTAGATTTCAGAAATTTTTTTCTTCAAATTATTTCTGTAAACTCCACTCATTGAAAGATCTTAAGGGACTGGCCAATTTTACAGCACCATTTACTCACATGAAAGTTATATTTCCAGGTTACCCTTCATGACACTCAAGTCTTACCAAAAGCCTTGTCTGTGCTACATTCTTTCTATAATCCAGCCTGTCAAAAATATTGGCAGACATATGACCATACTGTACCACATGTTGCATACTGTATCTTCCCCCCTATAATACTATTTGCCAAAAATAATTTATATGAAGGACAACACCTTGTAATCATCATCATAATAATAATATCATTAATAATAATATCAACAATAATATCAATAATAATAAGCTCATATTAAAATTACCTATCACTCTAACAGTATTTAATACCCATAAATCCATTTCCTAACTATATTACAACTAAGTATGCTAGTTTTTTTAATATAACCATTGTGCATCTTGCTCTCCAACTGAACAAACCAGTTCAGCTACAGAAGTAGTAAGATGCAATTCAAGTGATCTGGTCATCAAAAAAATTACCTAGTGAACAATTTACTCTAATGCAAAGACTACAAGTCTAACACCAGTAACTGAGCAGCTGTCTAAAAGACTGTTTGACATTCTTTCCTGCAAAGGTACTGTTTGGCTTTGCTTACTAATTTCAACCTCTCTTACCCTTTCTCATAAATGAACAGGCCCAGATTTTGGTTCACACACACACAGGCCAGTCATGCATATGCACAACATACTTGACTGATGTAACTGAACTAAGAGTTAATTTATGCATTGAAGCAGCTTAGCAATGTGTTAAAAATGTCTTTGCTACCAGTATCCCCCGTCTCCCCACCCTGACATGTTAAGGGCCCCTTAATTGTTGTTTTAACCTACAGGAACACTGTTACCTGTGGCCAGTGGCTGTTAATGGAACAGAACTGGCAGTTTTCTTACCCAGCTGAGTGTAGATTTGTCATGCATGGATTAGCACTTGAAATAATCATAAGAGAAATTTGAAATAATTCATTCAAAACACAGCCACTTTTTGCTGACAAAATACCCCTAAGCCTCCTCAGTATACCTGTCAATAAACGTCTACCATCACTGCAAGCATCTTGACACCAGCATCCATTTCTTGTACCCTCTATCATCTGTGCATCCTCTTCGAGCAGGTACCACTTGGCAAACAAGTCAGCTGTATTTAGGCGAGAAGTAAGGACGTTGAAACTTTGATCGAAAATAACGATCAGGTGTCAATCAGATTTCCAGTTCTTCAGTTTTCTTCTTACACATAGGGACACAAGAGCATACATGCACCTAAAAAAATGTTTAAAACAGTGGATACATTTAGATCAACATGTTTGTGAATCACAAGGACTCTGGGCCATTTCTGCATGCCTTTCTTTGCATAGTTTCACTGAAGAATAGCCAATAGCTGCCGAGAACATTTCTTAATCAAGCAGTTCTTAAGCAGCTCACCTCCAAAGAATCAGCAGACAGAAACCTTTTTGACTGTCACAAATAATTGGTTCTGCACAATGTAGCAAAACTGCCCCTACACATCCAATTCCAAGAAACCAAGTGGGTTTGGCCAGTTGTGAAATACAAAGCACCAATCCTTTAACACAGAAAAGATTTAATAAAGATTAAAAACAGATAAAATAAAACCATAGTTTATAACAAGGGTTAATGCTGAAACAAGGATACATTTGGAATTGCTATCTGTAGACCTCCATGTTCTAAGAACACTAAGTTGTTACTGATGTTGCCTAACTTCCACTGAAGTCTATTACCAGAATGTGGGGTACTAGAGCTGAATAGCCTTGGGAGTTGCATACTATGCTTATGAATGGGAAATATAGTGACATGGTGCTGTTCCTCCTTGAATAGCTCAAGGAAACACAAAGAACCCTTATGAATCACAACATTTTGGGAAGCATGGCATATCTGCAAAGTGGAATTGTACAACCTTCACTGGGGTATAATATCTAATCAGTGTAGCAAAGCAAGGGCAAACACGCTGACCAGCAACCAGAGAATGAATCAAGGACCTCCAGAATGAAAAACAAGGGCTGATACAGCTT